AGTTTCATTTCGTTTAGACTCCATTTGGTATTCCTTTTCAGCGAAACTCTAAAACAAGGGAAAAACAGAAACTGGCACTGGGCTCTAGGTTAATACGTTAGTCCCAAAAATCATATAAAATGGCATATTAATGCATATAAAACATTCAAAACAGATAATATAATAGTATGGAACAATAAAAAATTATAGATACGTTAGAGACGTATCACATCCCTAGACTATGGTTCACGACTGTAGCCAAAGTTGTAATATACCCATCTTGATGTGTTTAGATGTTCAATACAATAGCCATGTGATCTACCCTACATGATTATGGTTTATCTATTGTATCTATAGCGGTGATGTTGATCATGTGAAGAATTAGTTTTTTATGTTCAAATTTATGCATGCCGATTTGTTGGCGCATCTAGTGGGCCATGTAGTATTTATTGCTATGTCGTTGTCGGTATCGTTGATTTTGTGTTGGTCTAGCTAGTGCTTCCAGGGCTACAACCATGGAAAAAAAGGTAGAAATGATCCACCGTAAGATTAACATGAATTTGTTCTAAAAACATGGAACTTTTGTGTGACGTGGCTTGGCAAATCTCTAAAAAATCATATGGGTAAGTCAAAAACATGGCTGAAAAATCATATGGGAAATTCAAAACATGACAGCTTTTGTTTAGTCAAACATGGCAGTTTTTGTTTACTCAAACACGGTTATTTTACAGAAAATTGTATTGGTCACATGACATGGCTAATTTCTGAAAAATATCTTATGGAAAAATCGAAACATGGCAAAATAAAACCATATGGAAAATTCAAAAAGATGTTCGTTTTTGTTTAGTGAAAATGGCCTTTCTTCAGAGCAAATTGTATTTGGTCCTATGGCTTTTTTTGTGAAGTGGCATGGCAAATGTATCACGCATCAGTAAGTTATTGTTCAAATGATTGATGAGCAATTATTTTTTTGTTTTGTGATAGTATCAACTCATAGGATCTGGAAGCAATTTTTTTTTGCCAGGACAAATCTTTGTACTAGGTATATGGTAAGTTACATATGCAAACAATGTACACATGGGAAATTCCTAAAGGAGAATAATGTTTTAACATGGCAATTCCCTAGATGGAAAACTCCTAAAGACAAATAATGTTTTAACATGGAAATTCCCTAGAGTTTTTCTTAATTCCAACATGTGAAAATAATTTATTAACATGGCAAATTCATATAATTGTCATGGCTTATAATATTTGAACATGGCAAATTGTTGCTCTTCTTTAACAAAACTTTTCTAATGTTGCCATTTGTAAACTTTCATTGTAGGTAGCATGGCATTTTTTCTTTTTAGAGCATGACATTTTTACTTTTTAGACCATGGCATTTAATTTGGTAGATCATGACACTTTTATTAACTAGACCATGGTAGTTTTATTGTACATAGCATGAATTCTTTTATTAACACCATGGCAATTTTATTATTTGGAACATGACAAATATATTGAACTTAGCATGGAATTTTTTAACACATCTTGGTAAAAATTTTATATATACTGCTGTTACATTTTTATCGACATGCATTTTTATGCCTTCTCAAAAGCAAAACCTACTTTTTAAAACTATTTTTTGCCATCATGTTGAAGTCACACACATTTTGCCATTAATGTCAGTTGTCTATTCTCATGGATGGTTTCGGTGTGCATCATGGCAATTTTACAATAAATAACATGTCAAATTCTCTTTTATCAAGGCATTCTTTATTTTTGGAGATACCACAACAATTTTTTTGAACATGTCGAAAACTTATCTACTGTAGCTCCACAAATATACCAAAATTGCAAAAAAAACCTCAATTTTAATATCATGGTAATTTTACTGTACTTACCCCATTTTTGTAAATTTACTTTTTATGAGCAAATCAATGAATTTTTTATTTTTATTATTAATGACATGACATTTTGACAGCATGAAAATTTTATTAATTACATGATTTTTAAGAGGGTGACATATTTTTTATTAGGAGGATGTTATTTTTATTATTGAGAGTAGATTTTTTCGATGGCATAGCATTTTTATTATAAAGTACATGACATTTTTTATTAACAGGATGACACTTTTATTATTGATGGACACATGGAAATTTTTTAATGTTTTTGTCATTTTTTCCAATAATGGGCAGTGGGATGGCAATGTTGAGGTTCTTTTAAAAAAATCAGCATGTCAATTTCTTTTTTCTTTTTTTCTGTAAGTTGATTTTTTTCGGATATACAACAATATGATCATTTTTTGAACATGATTGGCGTTTTGATTTATGTACATCAAGGCATTTTTGCTGTTGTTATAGCTTTTTAAAATGAGGCGCATAGCAGTTTTTAAGTTTGGGCAATAAGTAACAGCAAAATGGGATTTATTTGGCCCAACTTAGAGGCTTACAGACGTGCATGGAGGGGGGATGGTTCGCTGGGTGGGTTTCCCCTAGCAAACATTTTCGTTCACTCGAACGATGGGTTTGCTAGGACCCCCTTTCCTTAGGAACGTTCCCCAGTTATTCGGGTCCATTTTTATGGACACTAATATCTGACTACCGATCGCCAGGGAGGAGCTCCCATCCACTGATTTGTTCGCCAGGGGTGGTCGACCAACGAACACCCTTCATCATTCGCCAAGGGAAGGCCATGGCGAACCCCCGATAGGCCCATAGGCCCAGTTAACTATTTTCTTTTAATAAAAACCCCTTGATCGTTCGCCAAGGGAAGGCCATGGCGAACCCCCAATAGTCCCATAGGTCCAGTTAACTATTTTCTTTAATAAAAACACCATGAACAATGAATAAATAAATAATCTTCTAAAATTAGAGAAATGATTAATTTATCATGACCATGATCTAAAAAATATGAAAGTTCACACGCCACTTTATAAAACCTGACATTTCTCTAATTTATAAATTTACAAATGGTATGATTGAAAGAACATGTTGTGTGATTTAAAATAAATAAAATTATGAATTTTCATGGTGATGCTTCACTATGCAAAAAATGTCATGTTTTAAAGAACATTTTTTCTTTATTTTGCCATAAAAAAGAAAAAAATGCCATGTTGTAAATATTTTTTTGTGCCAATTACAAAAGGCTAAATTCTTAATAATAAAATTACCACCCTCTTAATAATACAAATGCAATGAGAAAATAATAAAAGTGCCATGCTATGAAATAATAATACTATTATATTTTTAATAATAAAGTAACCATCCTCCAATAAAAGTGACATGTTAACAATAATAATAATAATATTGTAATAATAATAACTGACATGCTCTTAATAATGAAACCATCATTCTTAATAATAATAATAATGTCATGTTAATAGTAATAAAAAATGCCATGTGTAATAAAACTACCATCCTCTTAATAATAAAAATGCCATGTTTTTAATTATTAAAGCGCCATACTCTTAATAATAAAAATTGCCATGTGAGAAAGTAAAAAAAATCCAAAATTTCCATTAATACTTGATAAAATTCCAAAAGCTTGCCATCGGGCATCATAAAATAGACCTAAAAATTTCCATGTTTTGGAAGACAAAATTGTCATGGTTTAAAGATTAATAGAAGAAATGTCCATGCTACCTATAATTAAAAATGGGAAAGTTTATAAAAAGACCTCTCTAAAAATAGAAAAAATTCTTCAAAAAATGTTAAAACGTTCTGGATTTTCGGGATTTTTCTAGTTGAATAAGTCGAACGACAAAAGTTAGGGTTATAGTACATATACGAGTTTAACGCAAATCTCCACAGCGCCCCCCCCCCCTCTATGGTCGAGTGGTAAGTGCCCTCGGCGTGCACCTTGGTCTGCATTTTTTGGAGAAATAAAAAGAACATATACGAGGAAAGCGTGAAACTATAATGGCTCCAGCTGACCTATGCCAAAAAAAAAAAGAAACTTCGCTAGGAAAACATGAAACGTCGAACGGCTCCAACCGACTTACGTGGCATCGGGCATCCGTCAAGATACGTACAATGGCGAGGGAGGCGTTCACTGGAGTTGGCCTCTTGGTGAACGATCGCTAGATAGCTTCTTAAGTTTTTATTTCGGTGGTAGCAAAGTTGGATATTATTGGTTGCAAATGTGCTTAATAAAGAGGGAAAATAGTATATGTTGAGAAAGCTATTATAGAGTTTTATAGTTTCCTTAACATCCAACATTAATTTCTTAAAAATATGAAAAGTCAAATTAGGAAGCAGTTGATAGCAAATCGCACTTAATTAGCCTTAAATGATTAGTCGCAAAATAATGACCTTAACTGATTTTTTTTATAACTACCCACATATGGTGCCCTTGCTTCCAAATGTTTTGGGAAAAACTAACCGGAGCAAATAAAAATGTCAGGCAATTGATCTTGGACGCGAATATTCAGCGAATGTCTGATTTTTAGGCACGGCAAACCGAACATTTTCATGGCAAATTATATTCGTTGAGAATGATAAATTTAGTTGACGAGGAAGGCAAATCTGCTCAGTTCATCTTTTGGACAGTAAAGCAAAACGCAGAAAAGCAATACATGCTCAAGTGTTCTTTGGGTGAGTGGGAAAAGAACGGCATTGATGCGTGGACCTTCACCACGTTGCATTGTTGGCTTGTTCTCGTCGTCTCGTCGGTCTCACTCGTCGACATGCATTTATTCCGGATTGCCGCGGCGGTGCTCCATTTCTCATCTCGTAACCTCCTCGATGTGCTTTTCAGCTCCGCTTAGTCATGTTATTTGTTATCCTACTACTCCTAGCGCGATCAAGCTGAGTGCGCTTCCCATATGTGGAACGATTTCCCCATGAACGCCGGCGAGCCAGCTAAGTGAGCCCAGCTAACTTAGCCACCTATGGCCGCAACACACGGGGAGATATCGAAAGCCACCTAGCTGCACTCCCACATCTCGACTCGCGCCGTGATCAATAATCCATCTTCTATATATATAAAGCACATTCTAGCGAGCTAGCTAATTCGATCTTCAGAGTAGGTAGTAATCAGAAATGGCGCTGGCACGCCGGAGTCCGGCCTCCTCCCTCCTGGTCATCGCCGCGGTTCTCTCCGTTCACGGCCTCCTCCCCGCTCCGGCCGCCGCCACGGGCAAGACCGGCCAGCTCACCGTCTTTTGGGGCCGGAACAAGGACGAGGGCTCTCTCAGGGAAGCCTGCGACGCCGGCCTCTACACCGCGGTCATCATGTCCTTCCTCAACGTCTACGGCCACGGCAAGTACCGCCTCGACCTCTCCGGCCACCCGCTCGCCGGCATCGGGGGCGACATCAGGCACTGCCAGTCCATGGGCATCACCGTCTCCCTCTCCATCGGCGGCTACGGCGGCGACTACGCGCTCCCGACCAACCGGTCCGCGCTCGACCTCGCCGACCACCTCTGGTTCTCCTACCTCGGCGGCAGGCGCAGGGGCGTGCGCCGCCCGTTCGGCCGCGCGAGTCTCGACGGCGTCGACCTCTTCCTGGAGCGCGGCGGGCCGGCGGAGCACTACGACGCGCTGGCGAGGGAGCTGGCCAGGCGCAAGGCCCGCGGGGGGAAGGCGCCGCGGCTGACGGCGACGCCGCGCTACGCGTTCCCGGACCGGCTCGCGGCGCCGGCGCTCTCGACGGGGGTCTTCGAGCGCATCCACGTCAGGTTCTACGACTACCCGGACTGCACGGCGTTCATCGAGGACGCGTGGGGCAGGTGGACGGCGGCGTACCCGGGCAGCGAGATCCACCTCGGCCTCACGGCGTCGGAGAAGGCCAGCTGCTACCTGCACCCCAAGGCGCTCTGGGAGATCACCATGCCGATCGTGCAGAAGGCGGCCAACTACGGCGGCGTCATGCTCTGGGACCGGTACTACGACGTGGTGAACGTCCAGGACCACTACAGCAGCTACATCAAGAACTGGGCCTGAGCTCCGGCCATCCTCCATGCATCGCCTTGCATGCTCCTCCCTTGGCAAACGCCTCTAGCTCCTTAATGTGCTTGCGCATGTGTAAATCGAAAGTAATCTGCTGTTAATCGTCACTCTCGTGTGCTTGCAAGAATAAAGGGACGACAGTGCAGTACATGGATAAACAGTTCATTTTAGAGGTTTGGTTCAATCATGCTGTTCCCTGTGGATGTCACAATTATCATCAGATTACTGCTTGATTACGTTTTGAAATGTATGCCCCAACCACAGGTGCGTGCAATCAATAATCAACCCTTAGAGTATCTTCAACAGCCTCGCGGCGCGCTAAAAATGCGTTTACATCGTCGGAATGATGAGCTTTTGCGCGGCGAAGAGCACTTGCTCGAGTGGCCACGGCAAATTATAGCACACGCGAGCCGCTTCAATAGCCGCCGCAAAAAAAAAAACACGCTTTCAGCATAAACAATATATACACTCCAAACACAACCAAGAAGATCAAACACAAACAAAATAAATCAACAATAAATAGTTCAATTTTATTATTACAACTCAAACAAATAGTTTATCTTGCAATACAACAAATAGTTCAACAATATAACGTCAAACATACAAATCATGATGCTCTTTGTCGGCCATTCCATGCCTACCACTTCTGGATGAAATCCTTCTGAAGATCATCATGTGTTTCGGCACGTCGAATGACATGATAGGAGGCAACAAAACGAGCCACCCTCGCAGCCCTCCGCCGCACTCGCACGGGATGTCCCAAGAGCTCATATCGAAAGTAGTCTAAATCTTGGCCACGCTCATTCTCGATGATCATGTCGTGCATAATCACACAAGCGTGCATGATCCACCAAAGCATCTTTTGATCCCAAATCTAGCCGGCTCTCTCACAATGACAAATTGGGCTTGCAAAATCCCAAAAGCTCTCTCCACATCTTTCCTAGCCGCCGCCTGAGCATTGTGGAAATCTAGATTTTTCTTACCATCCGGTTTTTTCAACAGCTTCACAAATGTTTGTCACTTTGAGTAGATGCCATCCGTAAGATAGTAGCCATAGTTGTATGTATGACCATTTGCTATATACTGCACCGGTGGCAGTTCACCATTTGCAATCCTATTCATGAGTGGTGATCGATTAACAATATTGATGTCAATCAAAGATCCAGGCATTCCAAAAAAAGCATACCAAATCCAAGTCTCTTGATTGGCCACCGCTTCAAGGATTATACCAAATCCAAGTCTCTTGATTGGCCACCGCTTCAAGGATTATAGTGGAACCTTTCTTTGGCCGTGGAATTTCCCATGCCATGTCCTAGGACAGTTCTTTCAACTTCAATGCATGCAATCTATTGAGCCAAGCATACCTGGAAACGCTGAGCTTTGTTCATCTCCAAAAGCATTGCAGCGTCTTCAGCATTGGGAGATTTTAAATACTCCTGGCCAAACACTTGCATAATTCCGACTGCGAACCGCTTGACACACATGATGGCTTGACTCTCACCCATGGCCAAGTGGTCATCAAGTAGATCGGCCGGAATACCGTACGCCAACATACGCAAAGCGGCTGTCACCTTCTGAAAGGTGATATGCTCGAGCTCTCCGGCGGCATTCCGCCTTTGCTGAAAAAACCGATCATGGCTCGCAAGTTTCTCCGCAATGCGCCTGAATAACTCGGTGCTCATCCTAAACCGGCGCCGGAAGTACGACTCAGGGTACACGAGATTATCCACAAAATAGTGTCTCATCAATCTGTTGTCGGCATCGATCTTATCCCTCTAAATTTTTTTCCGAACCATAACCGAACCACCGTGCTTCGATTTTTTATTGATATGCATAGTTAGGATCATTGCAAGATCCTCCTCCTCTTCGATATCAAATTCTTCTTCGAAAGAATCATATGACAAACTCATCTACAATGTTGAATTTAAACTGGTCTATAAAAACTACAAACAACATGCACCAAATTCATGTAAAAAAGTGAAGTTGAAGCAATACATACCTTGCAAGTGTTTTGTCGAACACCTTGTGGGCGCCGAGCGGCAGTGGGCGGCCTGGCGCTGTTCGTCAGAGGAATGGCGCGCGTGAGGGGTGGCGGCGACTAGAGGGAGACGGAGGAAGCAGCGACAGCGCAGGGATAGGCCGAGAAGCGCCGGAATGGTCGCTGGAACAAATGGGGTGGTGCGGGCGGCGCCTGGATTGGGGGGGGGGGGCGCTCGAGTGTGCAGCGCGCGGGAGTGGGCGCAACAAATAAAAGGCAGGCGATGCCATTTCCGCTCGCGCGCTGAACTATTTATGCTGCGCACGCAGTTTTTGCGCCTCCGCTGGAGCTCCCGGAGCGGTTGCACGCGAGCAAAAAACCCTAATTTTCCAGCGCGGCGTTTATATAGCGTGGCTATTGGAGTTGTTCTTACAAATATGTGTTCTGAAATGAATGTTAGAGCGTCTCCAACGCCCATCCTCAAAACACCCGCACACGAATCCATGCATGTTGTGCTATCCAACGCGGGTTATATCGGTCTACAGGGCAGTCCGGGTGCACTTTCTCTCACAAACTGAAGACAAACGTAGGGATTTGTCGGGGTCCAGATCGCTGCCACGCCCGCGCCCTGGTCCACCGAAACCCTCTCCTTGCATGCTTCCCGCCCGAAACGGTCAGCGCTGCTCCAAAGTATCAGCGCCGCAATCATGTCCGGTCAGAGCAGATGCGACCTCTCGCTGATGCCGACATTGAAGCGGCACGCAGGTAACGAGAGCGACGCGCGCCGTTTCCTGTGATCGCTCCGCATTCAAACAACACGCCGGCCGGCCGGCCGTCCATCTCCCGCCCGCATTAATGACACGCGTTTGCCGAGGCGGCTACTCGGGCGCCACCCGTCCGTCCCTCTGCTGCCCACCATTGCCGCCTCACCCGCTATATAAACCGCAGCCCCGGCCATAGCCACATTCGTACTCCTTCGGCCCCTTTCTCCTCTTCCGAACCATGGCCTCCTTGCGTGCCAAAGCCCTCTCGGATAGACTGTCGCCAGAGCAGAAGAAGGAGATGGCCGCTATGCTACCGGCGGGTAGTCCGGTAGGCAGCCGGAGGCCGACGGCGCCCAAATGGAGGACAAGCCGGCGTCACCCTCCTCGCCGGTGCATTTCACCCTGACCATCGACGAGGCTCGTTCCCATTATATGGACATGGTGCAGGAAGAGTAGGAGGAGCAGTTCCGGGAGGCGCCGGCCACCGCCGCTACAAGCACCTGCTCCTCTAGGAGCACCAGCAGGCGGAGGTGCGGCTCAATGCCGGCAGAGAGATCGCAGAGGACATGGACTTGGCGCAGCAGGCGGCGCTGCTCGAGTCGTACCGCTCCGCCCACGAGATCCGCCTCACACGTTGGCGGTATCGAGCGCCGGCGGAACTGGAGGCCGCCTACAAGGAGTTCGACGAGGCGGCGGACGAAGTGTGGGCAAGACCGACGATGAGGCGGAGGACATCATCGGCTCCGCCGAGGACATGCCATGCCGCCACGACCACGAAGTTGACACGTCCGTGGGTGCCGCCGACAACGAGGAAGAGTAGAGCATGGTAGGTCGCTGCTGCTTGGGTCCCAAAGAGGCCACCGCTCCTCCCTTCCCGTTGAAGCCAAGCTTGGTGGGCTGAACATCGTCGACCGATTAGCCGCTTGACGGCGACGTGGAGGCGGACAACTTCACTTCTTGGGGCTCTGGTGGCGGAGCTCGAGAGCGCCAAGGCGGAACTGGAGAAGGCAAAGCATCAGTTCTTGGGGCTCACAGCCGGACATGGAAAACGGGCGCCGGCGATCATACATTAGATAAATTAATTATACCTCCACAGCCGGACCAACACCGCTTTTAGGTGAAGTATATGTCCGAAATGTAATGAAATCCGGCCGTGCTTGAACAAATTTTATTTAGTTAATTTGAATTGTTGTTCGAATGTATGTTGCCAGCGTCGGATGGTCGTCTCTCGTATCCGCGCAGATTGATCCCCTTGTCCGCGAACATTATGGAAGGTGCCGTTGGAGATGCCCTTACCAGCAGCTAGCTTGGAGTGAACATGCACTTTGCCCCGCCGTCTGGCACGTCGTGTTTTCCACGGTACTCCCTCTTTTCTATAACAAGTGTTGTAGTATGTCGTGTTTTTCCTGGTGGCAGTATATTTTCTAAAAGAAAAGAAAAAATGTTTTGCACTTTTTCAGGGGAAAAGATTTGCATTCTACTTACATATTTGTTCGTCTGGGGTTATTTTTTTTAACAAGCATGCATGGACTTTGGTTGCATGCAGTGGCGAATCTACTAGGGGGACTTTAACAGGCTTAAGCCCCTCCTCCAGCTTTGCAAAATTAGTTTTTACTACTAGTTTAAAGGCCCAATCCAGTTATTTGTGAGCCCAACACAACATATATTCGCATGAAATAGACACCCAGCCCACCCTCTATTTTCTCTGTAGATTCGCCACTGGTTGCATGCTTCACTTAACGGTGAGATCTGTCCGTCGTGCCAATAAATTCGTCGCGACCGCAAACAAAAAACACGTTGGTCGAAGCGATCGATCGGCGAGTTGTGGAGGTTCTCGTCAGGATAAGATGGTCCTGTCCGCGGAAGTTCGGAAGCGGTGACGTTGGTTTGTCATTACGCAGAAAAAAAAAGGGAACAAATCTCGTCGACAGATCGATCGGATAGTGTCCTTGGCGGCGACAACCTACTACGCGGACGTGTCGGCCTTCGCGTGTCGCGTCGCAGGAGGGCCGCCCAAGCTGTGCTGTGCAGGCCTCGCAAAGCGCAGGCGGTGGAGGCCGAGGCGCGCGCGTGACTGCGCGTGGGCACGGGCAAATCTCATTTCACGCATTCAGCGTCAAATAGCTGCCTTTTCAAGCAAACAAGCGAGGCGAGCGCTCGTGGTGCGCCGAATTCGATTTTGCGAACTTTCCAGAAGGTTTCTGTTTGGCTTTACCGGATTAGGGAACCTTGTGGAATGTTCTGGCTCGGTT